CGAGGGCAGCGCGGCCCCCGAAGCCACGGGCATGGAGGGCCGGCTCAGGATGTCGTTGATGCCGTGCGGAGTGGCGGCCGAGAGCTGCTGCGGGGGGCTGCCCAGGGACGAGAGCCCCCCCGCGGTCGGGGGCTTCAGGCCGCCGGGGTTGTGGGTGCCCAAGGGCGGGGAGGGCGACGAGGAGGAGGAAGACGAAGACGAGGAAGAGGAGGAGAGGGGCCCGGCGGGTAGCTGGGAGTAGGCGGGGGGATACAGAGGGGTCTTCATCTCGGCCATGCTGTGCAGAGCGGCCAGCGGCGGGCTGCTGAGCAGGAACGCGCTCTGCCGGGTGCCCTCCATTGCCCCCACCGCTAACATCCCACGGCCCGGTCGGGGCCCGCAGCCGCTCCGCGAGGGCACCGGGCGCAGCCTTCGGCAAAGCTTTGGGCAAAAGGGAGCGCTGAGGGAGCTAGGGAGGACTCGCCCGGCGCACCGGGAGGCAACCTGCCAACTGGACCGAGGCCGCCGCTTCCCCGGTCGGAGTTCCTCTGGGAGCCGCGCCTCGGAAACGTCCAAATGCGACCCGCAGGAGGCGGTGGCTCCTCCAGGCGTGAGCGCGTCCCGGCGGGTCGGGCTGTCTTTTCGCTCTGAGAGTCCTGCCTTCAATTCCCGCCGCTTCTCTCTTCTGCACTGGCCCCGGACGCTCTAAGGGCGCGACTTCTCATCTTCTCCTCCCGGAAAACAGGCAAAACGAAACCCAGCCGGGCCCCGCAGAGTTTGTAACAAAGTTAGGACAACGGAGTCACCACTTTGAAGCTGGGGGTGGGAACTGGTTCGCTTTCTCCCGGGCAGTTCAAAGGACGACCCGGTCGCTCGGATCTACGGGGAGGGCTGTGCGCCTCCGGCTGCGCAGCTGCCCCGCTCGGTGCGCTCTGTGCGCGCGGGGATGGAGACCATCCAGCCCCGGGGCGGCAGTGCCACCAGTCGCCTTGGCTCGCGGGCTCGGCTCTGCGCGCAGCTCTGCCCTCCGCTCTCAGCCGTAGGGCACTAGAATTGCAATATTGCAACAAAAAGAAAAAGAGAGAGAGCGGGAAGGAACGGAACAACGAAGAGGGAAGTCTAACGGGTTCGGATCCCGGCTCTGCTCGTGGGTCCGCTCCTGCTGGTTGGACTGGCTACTCCCGCCCCACCCGCGGCGCCCTCTCTGCCTCTCACTGTCCGCCTTTGCCTCCCCGCTCTCGCATTTTCTTCACAGCTTTCCAGGCGTCGCTCCTCCAAGTCCTGTCCTCCGGCCGGCCAAGCTGACCCTCTCCCTCTCCGGGGCTCTTCCACCCACTCCCTCTCTCTCTTCTCTCCCTCCGGGCCTGACAGTTCGGATGAAGCTCTCAAAGGTAATAAAACATTTGCATCACTCCCTACCCCTCTTTAGCTGGGGGATGAAAAGGAGGGGGAAGAGGGGGCCAAAATGAGAACTTTGAGGGACGTCACTCTGTGGAGGCTGGGAGGAATGGGGCGGAGGAGAAGGGCGCAGTCCCGGGGCGTAACCACTGCCTCCAATGGCGTGCAGCCTCGGGCCTCACGTAACCTCTGAGACACGCCCACTTCGGAGCGCCTCACCTTCTGATTGGCTGAGACGGTAGAGCCGCAGGGCCGCGCCCGCCTAGTCTCCGCCCCTCCACCGCTATTCTCCAGGGGGCAAGGCCAAAAGGGGCGGAGTCTGGCAAGTGGTGCAGTTCCCCAGAGTGGACGCCTCAATTAATTGCGTTAAATAAAATGGAAGGAGGGGGGAGGGGGGCAAAGGCGAAGAGGGTATTACTTTTTAAAGAATAATGAAAATCCTGTCCTTTTATGGAAAAGTAGTTCATATTCTTCCCCTGCCCATCCTCCCTCCTCCTCGCCGGCTCACATCACCCTCACGTCCTCCACTCCCCCCCTCCACCCCCAGCCCACTCCACCATCTCCAGACGACTCACCTTCAACCGAGTTTGGTCCCCAGTAAAATGGAGCTAATGGAGCAGGCAGCAGGCCTGGCTCCTTCTTTTGAAAGGATTAATTAAAGGCCATCTGGGCTCTCCCTAGAATTGTGTAAATTAATTTATTGCTCCTTAAGCCTATCCCAATAAATAAATAAATAAATAAGTCCCTAAACCTTCCAGTCTTCAGCGACTCTAGGAGACAGAGTAGAATTGCCCCCACGGCTTTTCCATAGGGAAGCTGAAGCCCATGTACGTCTCCCGCAGACTCGTGGGCTGGGGCGGAGTGGCGGGCGGGTTCTAACAGCCCACAGCTTCCGCGTGGCAGCACGGGGTCACCTCTTAATCCTGTGGACGTCCACAATCCCCTCGCTGGCCAAAGGAGCGGCCTCTTTTGTCTTGGCCCCTTGTGCCCCCTTTGCTCGGCTCTTCGCTTTTCATTTCTGAAAAACTCCCATCTTCTCCCTGACCCTACAGCTCTCACGTAAAGGTTTGTCCAGTTCGCCAGGAACGGAATCGGCTTATTGGGAATAGTCCCCTCTCCCGTGTTGTTTAGACCCGGGAGCAGGGAGCTTTCTTTTTTCTTTTTGTTTAACTTTCTCTCCTTTGATTGTTGTTTTTGCATTTGAGGCTAAGGGGGCGGATGTGTGTGTGGAATCACCACCATTAAGGTGGAGGCTCTAGATATGCAAGCATCTAGGTGCCCCTGGGGGATGTAAGCTTTTGAAAACCCTCCCTGAAATTTTGTCCCCTGCGCCCCCCGCCTCCCGCCCCCCCACCCCACCCCCGTGGCTGGCGGCTGCTGGAGATGGAGGTGTCCGGGTTTCCGGCCTTTGGTGAAGGGATATCTAGGACTCAGGAGTGGCCCGTGGCCTTTCCACCCCTCTTCTACCTCGCCCACCTCCAGCGGGAGAAGACTGGCAAGACTGATGAAGCCCCTTTGCACAATGCTGAGATTTCAGGATGTAGAAGTAATATTCTCTTGGGAGACAGTCACCACCGCAATGGTGAATGAGATTATAAAGTCTAAAAGTAATGAGCAGGAAACGTAATGACCATGCACTAAACTGGTCAGGAGAAAACTTTAGCCACAGTACCCACAGCACCAGGGGATGGAGGTCGGCTGTGAACGCCAGAGGCTGGGAGGGCTTCCCACGCCCCTTCTGGCTTCCATTACTTTTGTTTCCACAGCACTCGGAAAGCACTTGATCTTTTAAGGGCATGAGCTGGAATTTGGGATTTTGTCGCTGATGACGACGATCTTTTGCCTCTTTTGTGCATTTCTGAGATTAAAGTATTTTGTTGTGGTGGTTCTTTGTCCCCCACCCCTCCATCCCTGTATGCTAACTTTCATACTGGGCTACACACTTCGCTTCCCAGACTTTAAAATCTGACCCTGAAGGTAGGATGGCGGGGCGAATCTGACCACCGAGAGGGATGCGAACGAGTCGGATCATAACTGGTCTCAGAGGAGAGCTGACCTGGGGACCGTCAGCATTTCCCCGCGGGGACCGCCTGCAGGACGTTGGGACTAAGCTCCAGCCCCTGTAGGTCGTGGGCTCAGGGAGGATGGCTTGCGTTCCCCGGCCCTGGTGGAAGAAATCGGCCAGCTCTGGCTCTGGACTCGATTCGTTGCAAACGAAACTTCATGGTCTCGGGGAAACCCCATCCTGCCGTGGGCGTGCCGCCTCCGGAGCCTCCGCCAGGACTCTGCCTTCTCAGGGACTAGGGAGGCCCGGGGAGGGGAGGATCTCAGTGGCCCTGTCCTGGTCCACACACAAGAGACATCAGGGTTCCAGGTATCGTAACCCGAGAAATTGCAAGTTTGTCAATTCCATGTCCCAATATGGGGGAGAGCTACGAAAGAGAAAAACTAAAGAGAAAGGGCGTGAAATTCTACTCATCCCAACTCGAGGTTAACTGCCTTCGGTAGGTAGCTAGCAAAACAGGTCGCCTGGATCACCCACACTGCGGGGCGGCAGTCTCAGTCTTAATTGCAAGGAAAAGCCTTCTGACGTTTG